ATGCTAAATGTACACTAAAAGTTTGACATTGTTCTTAACACTTCATTGTTTTCAAAAAAAATTATTGGCAGGAAAGTGTGATTTTTTAAAACTGTTCAATTTGCTGTTGCATCGTAACATGATGTAAGGAATGATGTCAAAAAGAGTGTATATGTAGCACGATTGAGGTCCTATATATCACCCAATGTTTTTGGCACAATTTTCATCCGCACCAAGATACACTCCTTGGAGTTCATGACATTATTGTTACTTATTCGTTAAAGTAAATACCAAAAACCTCCCATGAAATTTATAACAAATAAAGACATGGTCATCCCCTTGTTTTAAAAGTAAAAGAATTTTCTCCCTTTAGAATGAATGTTCTTTTTTTTTTTTATCATCTAGATCATATTTTTGTGAACATTGATTAATTTCTCTTATACAAATGATCTAATATATTCACTAAAAACTAAACTAAAAAGAGATCTAAACTTTAATAAGTTGATGCCAACTTTATAACGCTATTATTAGTTTAATTTTCTAAACATAGTCTAAATGTTAAGAGTATAAATGTGTAAAAATTAGAGAAAATGCTACTTAATCAACAAATATAAATATTAAAAAATTTAATCTACTTTATTAAATTATTCTATAACATGTTTTTATGTTTATTTGTTAAATCTTTGTCAATCACATTTGCAAAACATATAATTTTTAAAAAAATAATCATACTTTACAATGTCTTTAGATATTATGACAATTTGTAATCATATTTCTTTTCACTAGAACATAGTGATGCATCTAAATAAAAATATAAAGTATATTTTAAAATAAAAAGAAACCAAGGAAAATATAGTTTAACTGTATGTAATAAGAATTTTAAAATAGTAGAAAGCAAAGGAATAAAACAAAAAAAAAATATATAATTTTCCTAAGTTTTTATATAATTTCAAATAGACTAATTTTAAACTTTGGATATTTTTGTTCTATAAAATACTATCCATTTAGGAAAACATCTGCTATAAATAAATTTATTGTGCATCAAAATAAAGTTTTTGTAATAATTATGCTAGAAAATGAGCTAATTGTTATGAATATTAAAGACGAGATATAGGCAATATAAAAATAACAATCACAATAACACTCGATTTATATGGAAGCTCAAAACGGGAAAAAATTACAAACAGATGAGAAAAATTTATTAATAATCAATAATTAAGAATTACAAAGGATCTTTCTAGACCAAACAAATAAATTGGACAATTGGTCAAGCGTGTGTTGTACACCACATATTTATAATCAAAGAATCCTAACACATTAGAAAAATATAATACAATGAATAATCTAATATAAGGTGCAATCCTAATATAATAGGTCTAATAAATAATGTAGTATTTGAGTTGAAATATGAGAGAAAAATTGCCAAAATCACAAAACCTTTTCCTTATGTGTCTTGGACTTATTCAAGATTTCTTCAAATCATACTATCAACTCTCAATAGAACTCCCAATTAAATTTTCATTAGAATTTGAATTACATCCAAATTTTAACAAATCTTTACATTGACACGAATTTCACTACAAGGAACAAAATTTCAATTCAATAAGAATTCTCTGCCTGGAGACGAATTTCACTGTAGGAATATAACATATCTCTTCAACAAAAATTATCCAACAGAACTCTCCACGAAAAATTAACAAAATTCTCAACCTCTTCTACAAAAGCCTCTAAAGGCAAACTCAACAAATGTCAACCGAATCCATGCACTGCTTATCAGTAGGATTATGTTGAGTACCAAATTTGCTCAAATTACCACCATGAGCAACAAGATTGTTAAGATCACAACTATCTAACCGAGTTATCAAATTTGCTTGAATTATCATCACTAACAACAAAGTCACAACTCCATCTGAGTCGACACTTATCAAAACATAAGCAACCAAATATGTCTCGTCGAACCTCTCTTGAGGTCTAATATCTATTTTCTTCAATTTTGTGACAGTGACATCAAACATGATCATAGAACCCTACAAGACATATAACTGCGATATCCCTTTATTTCAATTCCATCTTTACGCTGCTTTTCCTGCAACATCCAAATAAAAATCTGCCATAACAAAAATTTGGTGTCCAAAAGAGGAATATCAAACTTCATATTTGTCATGCCGAAAATCAAACTTCGATCTGAGTTGATCAAATCTCGCTCTAATACGAAACTGAACGGGCTATTCCAGAAACTACTAAACCTAGCTCTTATATCACTTGTTATGAAGTAAACAAGCCAATACCAATTTGTTATGATACTAGTTTGTTACGAAAAATGGAATGTGCAATATAAAAATAATAATCATAATAATACAAGATTTACGTGAAATTTTTAATACGGGAAAAGAATCATGAGCAGGGGAGAAGAATTCACTAATAATCAATAATGAATTATTACAAATGACCTCTCTGGACCAAACTAATAAGTTAGATAATTGGTCAATTTTAATATTTGTTGTACGTAACATATTTATAATTAATAATTCACTAGGATAATATAATACAATGAAGAGTTTAATATTATGTGAAATCCTAATATAATATATTTAACAAAATAATGGAGTATTTGAGTTGGAATAGAAGATAAAAAATTGCTAAACTCACGAAACCTTCTCCTTATTCGTCTTAAACTCCTTCGAGACTTCTTCAAATTATACTATCAATTCCCAATAGAACTTCCAATTAAATTCCCAATAGAATCTAGGTCACACCCAAATTCACTACTAAAAATCAGCTTTGATAATTTCCAACGGATAGTATCAGAAACGGATTATCCGTTAGTAAAAGTATTAGACTTTTAACTATGAGAATCACTAACGGAATTTTCGTTGGTAAAAGTGGTAGTTTTTCACCAACGGATATTCCGTACCTAATGTTGTTGTTTAATATGCTTACCATTTACCAACAACATTTCCATAGGAGATGTGATTCAAATTTTTTCAAAAAAATGTGTCAACCTTTCTCACCTACGGATTTTATGTTGTGATGTAATTCAATTTTTTTCTAAAAAATGTGTCAACCTTTCACCTACGGATTTTCTATCGGTGAAGAGTAGTTCATATTACCAACGGAATTATCGTTGTTGATAGTAATCAATTTTAATAATTAAAAAAATCATACATTCTCCTATGGAATATGCGTAGGGGAAGGGTAATTAATTCTTCAAAAAAAATAAAATCCAGACTCTTCACCAACGAAAATTTCGTAGGTGAAGATTAATTCATATTACCTATGGAAAATTCGTTGATGATATTAATCAATTTTAATAATGTGAAACCAAATGAATTTTTATCCCACATCAAAAGCTCACAACAAAATCTTTGGAGATGGCCTCTATAAATTAATGATCTAATAAGTGATTAAACAACTTTTTGAACATTTAAATTCCGTTGGATAAAAGTTAAAAATTTTATAATTATTAAAAAATAATAAATAATAAATAAATAATTTTTTTGCCACGCCTTGCACCTATGCCGCTATTTACAACACTAATTTTTATAAATTGTATTTACCAACGGAAAATCGGTTGGTAATTGTTAAGATTTTTACCAAATGAATTTCCGTTGGTAAAATGTTCACACTTTACCGACAAAAAATTCGATGGTAAAAGATTTATTCTTTATCTACGATGCGATCCGTTGGTAACTATCAGCGACCCTCAAATTAACAATGGATTTGTGGTTGCTAACATTCCGTTGGTAAAAAGTATTGGCAACGGATATCGTGGTTTCAGGAACGGAAAATCCATGCCTGAAGCCATGTTCTTTTGTAGTGATTTTAACAAATTGAATGCCCAAATATTAGATCTAGAGCAATGCATTATTTCAAGGTAGGGGGAGTAATTGATTTTATTGTGAGGTCTGAATTATATGCAAGGAAATATCCTCAAAGGGTGAATGAAACATGAATGGACACCGCGAATTCTCAATGCCACATTTGTTGGAAATTAAATATTCCTTCCACATTCTTTTAATTGCTTTTAGCCTTAGAATATGGACAGAAAATGAATACATACTAGAAAAATGAACGGTGTTTTTAATATACAAACAACATCAATCTTACTTTTTTAAGTCTCAAATTTTGGACCACACGTTAATATCATTATTTAGAACATTGGACAAAACAAATTGAGAATTACTAAAGATTTAGCCTATCATGTTTGAATTACAAAAATACATAATTGCAAGAAGAAATTTGAGTATTAATTTTTGTCTATGTCAATGTCTTCAATAGAGTGCTCAAGAAATCCCAATTCTCTCTTGCTTGGAAAAAAGCTCTTGATGGTTAGTGTATTGAATGTATGTTTTTGTCTCCCCACAAAACTCTCTTCCCCTTTTGCTAGATGAATAATCCTATTCGTAGCCTCTAGAATTAGGTGAACTTGACTTAAGTTAAGAAACAAAATATTTTCTACCTTGTAAAGCCACGCGATCGCAACCAACACGATCGCAGGGTAATGTTGGTTGCGATCGTATGGTAATATTCTTGGACTTGTTGGTGAAAATTGTGATCACACGTGTAGAGTCTTACGATTTCAAGGTACATCCTTTTTGCTTCCTATTCAAGTTAGTCCCTAAGTTTCCGTAATGATCCACCTTCATCTCTCAAATATTTATACCTTAGTCCCCATCTTCAATAATTTGTTACTTCTTAGTCCTTCAAATGCTCTTGTGACTAGGTGGATGATATGGCATTTTTAATTCAATGGCTATACTTTCTCTCCAATTATCCATAAAGATAAAACTAATGTCTCAAATTTCGGACCACACATTAATATCATTATTTAGAACATTGGACAAAACAAATACAAACTTTTTAACGTTCAATTATTGACACATTTACATACGAGGAAATTCAACATTTGAAAAACCTTAACCAAGACCTAATTATGTCGTAGAATTTGACAACACCGCACTAAATATGGATGATAATATGGTGATACATTAAAATGGAAGTCCCCCATACTGTTACTACGTTCATTTGGATATTATCACTGGTTGTATGATTATGGATGTTATGAAATCTTTTAACTTTGTTTTAGAATTTGAGTATCCATCAGTGTCTTTGCATAGAAGATTGATGACACGTGCAAGATTGACTACTCGTAAGAGAACAGCCATTGGTACTGCAGTTGAGTGAAGGCATTCCTGGTTTATATCCTCAGAGGCGAACCAAGCTTTTCATAGGCATGAGCCAAACTAACAAGCCGATGAGCAGCTTGTGCTTATTGACATTGCTAACTAAGAGCTATGGTGCAATGCTAATGAAAGTTTGAGAAGTTATATCTTAAAATTTGAGGCCAACTTGTGGGGGGAAGAATAAACTGAGTATTAATGTTCTAAAAGGTAGAAAAAGGCTGGGTCTAAGTGCAACTAATGGAGAAGGCGCCCTCTGCAATATGAAAAACACATGAAAAAGTGGTCAACCCTATTTTGACCACTTAGAATGCTAGCCTAGATTGAAGAAGGCATGACTCATTCAGACCTAGGCGCGCACCTTTTATATTTAATATTTTAGCTTTTAAGTTATATAAACTAATTGAAAAAAAGAAATAACATTAAAATTCCTAGAAAAATTAAAATAATATTAAAAACAAGAAAACAACTTCTTATGTCTAGAATCATAATGCTTGAGGGTTGGCATTGCCCCTTGCATCATTGAGAACCTTGATCGCCGCCATTTCGACATTATTTTTTAAATTTTATTTTTTAAAAGCAAAGGAACATTTTCTAAAATCAAATAACCATTTGCATCTTTGAGAACCTTGTTCGCCGCCATTTCGACATTTTTTTTTACTTTTTATTTTTTAAAAGCAAAGGAACATTTTCATTAATCAAATCACCAAAAACTGTGTATGAAGGATGAAGAGTACAACAGAATCAATGAAGTCATAAAGGCTCACGAGCTACATTTTCCCAGTTCTAGGTCCTATGAACAATGCTAAATGTACATTCAAAGGTTGACATTGTTTTTAACACTCTTTTCAAAAAATCTTGTTGGCGGGAAAGTGTGTAATTTTTTAAAACTGTCCAATATGATGTCATCACGTAACTCGATGTAAAGAATTATGTAAAAAAAGAGTGTACATGTAGCATGATTGAGATCCTATATATCACCCAATGTTTTTGGCACAATTTTCATCCTAATGAAGATGCACTCATGAAATTTATAACAAATAAAGACGTGGTCATCCCCTTGTTTTAAAAATTAAAGAATTTTCTCCCCTTCGAATAAACATTCTTTTTTTTTTTTTATCATCAAGATCATATTTTTGTGAACATTGATTTTTCTTTTAACTTGCGATTGCAAGGTACATCCTCTTTGCTTCCGATTCAAGTTAGTCACTAAATTTCCCTATTGATCCAGCCTTCATCTTTCAAATATTTATACCTTAGTCGCCATCTTCAATAATTTGTTACTTCTTAGTCCTTATCATTCAATTTCTACTCCGTTTCTTCATATGCCATACAATATCTATCAATGAATATACAATCAAAATTAAGTATCAATTCAGTAAAAATCCTTCCAAAAGTCCACTTTTATGGCCATGATAAGTACAAAATTATACTTATCGTTAAAGTAAATAACAAAAACGCTCATGAGATTTACAAGAAATATAGATTTCTCATTTTAACAATAAATAAATTAAAATTGATCACATTATTAAAACATCTTAATCATAATACTGTGAAATTTGATTTCTCATTTTAAAATGGATCTAAAATATTGGCTAAAAAATAAACTACTTAGGACCACTGCTGTAAATTTTTGTTCTATAAAATACTAACCACTTAGGACCGCTGCTGTAAATAAATCTGTTGTGCATCAAAATACAGTTTTTGTAGTTATTCAATGCCAAAATATTATTAGATCTCAATGCATTATTTCCAGATGTGACAGAACACATCTCAATGCCCACATTTTTTTGTGGGAATTATGGGAATGCCGGTGGAGGAATTTGAATGTTCATTCTATATTCTTTTACTTAATTTACTTTTAATCTTAGAATTTGGACAGAATATTAACAATGTTTTTAATATAAAAACAGCATCAATCTTACTTATGTTTGAAAATGGAAGTTGTGTTGATGGATAGCGATTTATTTCATTTTCTACCACACACAAAAAAATAAAAATAAAAAATCCTAACTTCTTCAATGCTGTTGTGACTATGTGGAGGATATGGCATTTTTTTTAATTCAATGGTCATACTCCTCCAGGATTATCCATAAAGACAAAACTAATGTCTCAAATTTCAGACCACACATTAATATCATTATTTAGAACGTT